GGTTTTAGTATTTATTTCTTTTGATATTTAAGTTACTCAGATTTTCCATTACTACCATTAAAACTTAAAAATTTAAATGTATTTCAGGAAATTTGAATTGTAAATAATGAAAATAATTTATTTATTAAATTTCAGAAAACATTTTATGTTTTATGTTTATAAATATAAATAAATGTTATATACATACATAAGCAATATATATGTACATTGTATATAACCTATATACTATATAAGAAGTTTATTGATATAAATATATAAAATAAATTTTGCATATTTTACATATTTGTAAAGAATATAATTTATTTATGTGACAAAGTACCACATAGTAAATTAACATCACGAGGGAAAAGATATTAGAATTGCTACTATCAAATGCCATGTGTACACTGAAAGTTATTGTAGAAATGATCAGTTATTGAAACTGAATGTTAAGCCTTTGAATATCATGATAATTTTTACTGAAAAAGCAAGAATTAGGCACTGATAGACTAATAGCCTCTATAGAATTTACTAAATGAGCATTCCCCTTTAGAATGAAAAATGACTGTTGAGTGGTCTTTTAATATGTATATGTTTAGTTATTTTGTGTCTTGTTAGACTAAGACTCTCATCAAAATGGAAGAATTTTTATTTTTTTTTAGTAATGATGGTACAACATAGGAAACCCTGATATTTTATATGGCAAATACAGTTTTTCCTACAATTTCACTCTCAGAAAATAGTTCAGTTTAATCTAATAGATACAAATTGCTATTAAAGTTTTTTTTTTTTTTTCATGCTGAGCATAAAGGAGTTATTTTTGTCACTTAGTGCCCCCTCATAGAATCATAAGGAAGCTCCTAATAGAATATAATCTACAGCTGCCTATGTAATTTGGGCATGCTGTGATTTTAATGTTATTATCCAAACTGACTAGATGCTATTAATGAATATTGCTGCCAGCTATTGTTATCATAATGTACTGCAAGTAGTAATTTCTATTAATGTTACATATCCATAACATTACTTGTTATAGCAATACTTTGTATCCTTATTTAAAAATGGTGTTGATGTTTGATAGTATCAGGTAAAGCTGGCAATTAATGACACATTCTAACTGGCTACAGCTAATCAGCTTGCCTACTCTGTATATCAAATAACTATGTAATGGGCAAATTTCCATTTGTGAAGCTTTTTAATGCTCTCTTTTGTTTCCCATTTGGCTCTTTTCAATTGTTTATATAATGCGGTTTGTCGTATGTTAATTTGCATGATGGGGTAAGGAGATGGGAGGGCAAAGGTTATTCACATGCTTGCTGGCTCACTCTCATTTCCTGTGGATCCCACTGTTCCCTGAAGCAGTTATAACTCATCAGATTTGCAAACTCAACTCCTTACAAATCAATTGCGCTCCACATTGAAATTCTGGAGGGTTTAGAGTCCTGCAAAACCAAGATGCGAGTCAGTGATCCAGATGACAGCACTAGCAATTTACTTGCACTCATTCCTCACTTAATTCTTTAGAGGAGTAACTGCTCTATGCTCATTGAAGAATGCATGAATTAAAGTTGGGAGAGTGTTAGCCACACAAAAGGCATCAGAGTAACTGCTTCTTAAAACTGAGTAATTTTCTCCTTCGACAATCAAGGCTACTGAAAGGAAAAAAAATAGGGAAAAGGAGGAAAACCACAGTTTAATTTATAAAACTTTGGGTCATTTATTTAAACAGGGCAAATAAGCTTATTAATTATTCATTTTATTACCAGGAAAAAATGTTTGGAACTAAATATGAGTTACTGTTAACCTTTTGCTCAGTTAAACATCACTATGTATACAAATAAACATAAACAGGTTTCTTATCCCACAGAAGTTTCTAAAACGTATATATACATACATACACCTGTTTGGTTTTTTTTTTGGTCAAAACTGTCAAAAGACATTTTTCAAGAAATAAAAGCAATGATAACTCAGTATATTGTTCACATTATTTTAATCAGAAGGTACTTATCCTTTGGTATTTGTCCCTAGAATGCAATAGTCATAATGAATGGGCATTTCAATTTTCTTGATAAACAGAATTTTTTGTATGTTTTAAACATAGAGTTTGTGGTACATATTAAGCATCTCTATAATTTGTAAACCACAAACAATGTACTATCTTTGAAAAATGGGTTTCAAATTTCTGACATAATTTATCTAACTTCATATGTCTTCATTTGTGGTCCATGAATTAATAACTAACCTGATGTGATGTGAAATGAATCACTTCAAATGAATGAAATATATTGATTTTTTACTAATTTATACTAAATTTATTCCAAGATTTCTTTCCATCATTAACAGCTTTACACCATCCAGTTTTCACTCGGGTTGTTCTGAAAGAGTGAAAAAAAAATTTTTCAAGCCACGGCTTACATTTGCTGCTGCTTAGCTTTCATTCTCTTCTGGAAAGTAGTGCACAACAAAATAAGGTGTTTTGTGTAGATGTGTTCTTTTATTTTTCTTGTTTCTTCTGTCACTAACTTGTTTTTTCTATTCTGTGTTTAATCTGCTGTCTTAATGGATTCAGCTTCAGAAAAGAGAGCGCTCTTGCAGAGCCTATGTCCAGGTACTTTCTGCGTTTTTATAAATATGTAAAATTGTTGAATTGTCTCTGTTGGTGATAGCATGTATGGACATCCAATGGAAAAATGATATAAACCCTGTTGAACTGAGGGAATTTCAGGGGTGCATGAGGGTGAGACTGGAAAAACATATAAAAGGGTACATGCTGAAGAGAAATTTGGCAGTGCCACAGCTCTGTCATACAAGAGGAGCGCAGCCTGAGAAACTCGTGGTGTATTTTGATCATCAATAAAAGGTGAGTTGGGTGTAATATATGAGTCTCTAATTTCTTCATAGAAGTATATATGAAAACATTTCATTAATATGTTGGGCCAGCTAATATTTTGGCAGCAAGTCACTCAGAAATGATACTCAGTCAAAGTCATGTAAGACAATGAATAGTCCAGGATACTTGGAATATCATGGAATATAATTTTCTCCAGTTAACATGTTGCAATTTGTTCCTAAGCAAGGTTAAAAACCATTTCTATGTTTATGAATTCTGTGTGAAAAAACAGATCAGTGAAAATCCCAGAACAAGTTTTATAGTTCTTTTTGCAAGAAGAGAAGGGAGGCAAGAGAAGGGAGGCAAGAAGGCAGTGCAGGGGAGGAAAGGGTCTAATAAGTAAATTGACAAAAGACAGATTAACAGGAGGAGAAGAATTTTAATTATATTCTCATGGGAGCCCCATGAAGACATGAGATTCAAAGTCAATGATGCAGCTGCAGTTTATATGTAGTCCTGAGCTAGAGAAAAGGATAAGGGCCTGGGACTTCATAGTGGGAGGATGGAAATTCACCAGAGTATGAGAAGCTCAGATGCTTGATAAACAAATGTTAGTTCTGCCATGCAGAAAAGTCTTTCAGATAAAAATAATTATTTCTAGTAATAACTGTCTTTCTGGTACAGGTTTTCTATCTAAGTTCTTTTAGGTAGTTAAGGAAGAGGTAAAAGTTTTTCCTGAGTATGTTAGGTCTTGATTGCCTTCAGCTCAAAGTAATCTGCATAGCAGAGTGACATATTTTGAGGTGGCATATCAGGAAGGAAGGAAAGTCAAGAAAGAAAGAAAAACATGAAGCCGTATGACTGTAAACTTTATTGTTTAGTATATATATGTATGTGTGTGTATCGTAGCATTTTTAAAAAGGAAGGTCAATTGCATTTATAAAGAGAAATGCCCTCATGAATCAAAGTTACTGGTTCTCAGATTGGCAGATCAAAATTGAAACCTTGTCAGTTTATTCACAGTAAGGGTATTTTGTGAGAGTCATTTAAAAGGGGAAAAAAAATAGTAATTTAAATATCAAACATATTAGGAAGATAAACTTTTAATTTATATTTTACTTTATTAAACAATGAATCTTTGTGTATAAGAAACTGGATTTATTGTTCTAAGGTTTTAGGAAAGAAATTGCTTTGGGAGGTTAATATATATATATATAACCTATACTGTTAGTACATGCAATAGAGAAATGAAAGTATTCTTCAGCATTGAAAGCCGAAGATCATTTGTGAGCAGTTTTCGGATTGTTTTGGGGGCCTTAGAGATAATTAGCCTTTTGCTATTTAAATCTATGAAATGCATGGTCATTCACACACAAATCTCTGATGGAAAATTAATAGCACAGTTTATTCATTGGCTGATTTCCTGGTGTTATAATTGAGTGGCTGTGAGTAAACGTTTCAGCTATTGACTAAACATCTGATAAGACCAAGTACACACAGAGTATTGGTGAAGCAGAAATGCTCTGCTTACTAATACATGGCATTACTTCTGTTAATTTTAACATAGATCATTCTGTGAAATTCTAGAGTGAATATTATTTTAAACTTTAGGCTATATGAATTTTAAAGACTTGTTTATGTTCCCTATTTTTCTATGTTCGGAGCATGTTCTGAGCTATATATTCAACAGGTAAGAAATACACTTGAAGTGTTGTGTGCATTCAATTTGGAAAATGATAATCGTTTAGTCATCATGAGACTTAAAAAATATGGCCTTTTCATGAGCACAATGATTCTTCTAGGTCTGGTTTTGACCATCCAAATCCACTTAGCTTTAAATTATTTAGAGATACAGTGTTTATTTTATGAATTACCTAAATCCATCTTTTATTCTTGCTTCCTATTTTTTGTTTATTTTCCAAAAAAAAAAAAAAAAAAGCACAGTGAAATCAGTACTGTCATCTGTCAGCTGTCAAAACTGATCTGTAGGTGAACAGTTACAAACTTGTTGCTTTGATTTTTTAAATACAGTAATCTTCTAAAACATTATACTTGTGTCTCAATAATTTTGACAAAATTCTGTCCAATATATTTTTTCTTTATTTAATTGTAATTTTAGATTATATTAAAATTCTTGTTGACTACCAAAAAGTAAAAATTGACATGAGTCATAGTAAAAAATATTCTTACCATATATTTGGCATAACACATGCCTTTATTTAAGAAGAGAGTTTTAAATTTTATGCCAGAGAAGATAAGTAAGGCTTGTGTTATATATGAATATTAAATAGCTACTATGGTATAATATTTCCAGAAGGAATCTTAGAGTTGAAGATGAGATAGCTGAGATCTGAAGAGATGAAATGACTGGCCCAAGGTCACATGACTAGCACTAATGGCACTGATGTTTCCCTCTGACATGCATCCAATGCTTCTTCAACACCAACAGTGATTTATTATAGAGAATAAATGCATTTATTAGTCCTAAATTATGTGACCATCACAGTTCAGAGCATTTTGCATAAATTCTTAATATTCACAACAAGCCTGTGATGTAATTATCTATATTCTTTAGTTAGAGAAAATGGGGCCAAGAAAGGATTAAATGACTTTCACAAGATCGTACAGTAATAATTGACAGGGTCCTGAATTCTCAGCTAGGTTTTCCTAATTCAGAAGCTCATGCTATCAATCCATAAGACAGTGCTATTGCAGAACTGACTTTATTATTTTGTATTAGGCATCAGGATATATCATTTGGTTTATATTTATTAATTTATTATACTATGTTTCAGGAATGGTATAGAGTAAAACTTATTTTTCTATATCTTGTTTGTTTTGAGACAGTTCAAACTGGCTATATTTTGTACTGCTATATTAAGGTCAAATACAAATATAATTTGCTTTGAGGTCCTTCTCCCTCTCTCACCACCAGAGGAGACTGTGATTTAAAAATTTTCATATAGAAAATTAAAAAAAAAACAAGTAGATAATATAACTCTATGTTAAAGGAAGAAGTGTCAAACTTTTCCAGAGTACCCTTACAATTTTATATTTCCACCAACAATATATGAGGATTTTGGTTTCTTCGTGTTTTCAGCAACACTTGTTATTTTCTGTCTTTTTTATTATAGCCATCATAGTACAAGTGAATTGCAGAAATCTGTAATTCTACTCATGGGATGGGGGCAAGGGAAGGTTTGGAGTGTAATTCATGACCCAGTAATAAATCACATGGCTCCAAAGAAAGGTTTTTGTAAGAATATGGGAACAGTGTTAGGTAGCTAGTCAGGCATGAGCAACAGGAGTGAAGGCCCAGCTCTGTAACCATAGAAACTTCCCTTAAATACCTTCCTTAAGGACCTTCCAGAGATAAGTTATAAGTTACCCTAAATCCTAGAGCACAAAGGCCTTTAAAGCTGCTGGCTAAACCAGCCACAAACGCATGCGCAGAAAGTACTGCCCATAACTATACCATCATGATAATCTCATGGCTAAGCCTGCAAGTTCATGAATCTAATTATAACGGAGTGAATTCTGAGTAAGCACATGCATAGTAGGCAAAAGGTTATATAGCAGCCAAGTGTCAATCAAAATGACCTCACAAACTAATCACCTAAGAATGCTTTTGGAACCACCCATCACGGCCCAAATATAATGCAGACCTTCCCACTTGTGTGTGGTTATAGCTCTCTTTGATAAAAACCCACTCTTCTCTTTAGGGTGTACTATCTTATCTCTTCAACTCCCAAATTCCATAGGGCTGCAGCCTTTCCTAGTATGGCCCATCTCCTTCTAAAATCTAATTTCAATAAATCTTTTTCTAAATCTCGCCAACCTGTAATTCTTTTCTAAATCTCGTCAACCTGTAATTCTTTGTCGATGGGGAAGAACGGAGAGGCAACACAAAATACCACCATTCTCTTCCCCCATGCCACTGGGGTGACGCCAGATTCCACATCACCCCAGTGGTAACACTTCCTTTTTTTTTTCTCCTTTTTATTGAAAGGCAGATGTTATGTATGTTCTTTGAAGCTTCTGGTATTTAAAACAAGTCTTTTTAAATTTTAATTTGTAACTATAATTTGCTCATTTTATTTAATTTATTTATATTGTTGGTTTTACCTTAATTATCCACTAGAAATCTCTATCTAAGATACCGGCAGTACAAAAACAATCTCAATCCTCAAATGGAAAACATCATATAGTAGTTAACAACAAAAACATCCAAGAATTAATAATTGAGCACATGTGCCCAGTAACCTTATCAGCATTGGGAATACAGCAGTACAAGTAACAAGCAAATATTCTACTTTCTCGCCTAGGGTGAAATTTCTAGGAGCAGAATATAAATAATATACTAAGTATATGAAATATATGGTATATGAGATGGTGATAAATGCTAAGGAGAAAAAAACAAGAATGTGTAGGGGGTGGAAAATTTTTTCTTCTACCTGTCTAGATTCTTTGCTAATAACCAAATGAGATAGATTTGCAAGAGGAAAACAAAAGTTTAATAACATCTATACCTCCTGTATATATGGGAGAGACCCATGAAAACTGAATAACTCACCAAAATGGCCGAAACCATCACCTTAAATACCATTCTCAGCTAAAGATAAAAGAAGATGTTGGGGGTGGGGAGAGTCAGTTATGGGAGGTTACCAAGAAAAGCACAGTAAACAAGAATAAAGTTGTTGTGCAGATTTAAATCATTGTCTTCTCCATTGTTAAGAGTTTCAGAGATTGAGTCATCCTTGTCTTCCTGGTACAGAGAG